CCCCCCGGAACATTTTTCCTTCTATGTAAAAATAAACCCACATACAATAAGCCCCTTCTTTCTTCCAACTCTCTTTTTAAAACCCATCTTACTGATCTTCTCTGTGCTAATCTCTCCACCTTCTCATAGCTGATTTCCCTCCTGTGAAACTGCATTGAGTAGGTGGAAAGATCTTTTGGGGGCAGCATCTTTTAAAATTTGATGTATGCCTAGGATGTGGCTAAGAAGTAGGAGTGTGAACTGGCATCTACGCTACATCTAAATGGCAATAGTACAAAGCAAAACTTGCCCTGTCTGAGAAACTGCCTGAACTTGGTGCAGTGACCTATAAAGTGGAAACAGTATTTGCTGGTTGCTAAGGGCAGTGCACAGCTGCTGGGTGATAAGATGTTGGCAGTCTTATCCTGTTTCCTACTGTCTTATATATCGTTACTTATGTTACTAGGCTACTTTAGCACTGAGCTTTCCTTTCCATGGTAGGGATGTCTTTAATGGGTTGGCTGTTTGTCCAGCTCAGTTTAATGCTGCTCATTAGTGGGACTGTTGAGGAGAGCAAAATCACAATCACAGATAATAGAGCTATGTAGCTGGATTTCTAGTAAATGTTGGTTTTGATGGGATAGTGCCAGAATTTGCTTATGTAGGCATAGCCCTGGAAAGACCTGTACCCTACATGGCTGTAGGTGTAAATTTTGCCCTTCTTTCCTACTTCTCAGTGAAAGGAATATCTGCAAAAATACTGAGGTAGTCCTGAGACCAGTCATGTTTCCTTGTGTGCAGCCTACCACTGGGATTACTGCTTAAAAATAAGGCTAAATCCTGGGTTGCTTATGACTGCAAGGAAGAGAAAGTGCTGGAGGAGCACAGCTGTGCAGCTTCTTCTCGGCTGTGTGTGTTACACTCCAGTCAGATTTTACAGCGCCCTGACAGCAGGGTGGGTCATAGAGGTAAACATGAGATGTGGAGTTTGCCTCCCCGTTCCTTTACTTCTGCTCTACTGCTGTTTCCGTCACAATACAGGTTTTTCACAGAATCACAGAATGGTTGAGGTTGGAAGAGACCTCTAGGCCAACTCCCCTGCTCAAGCAGTGTCACCTAGAGCGCGTTGCCCAGGAAGCCATTTTTTCCCTCATGCTACACGCTTAGTCCAAACATATACCCTTGACTCATCTCCTGCTGTGGTCAGCCTCTGCTGGATCTGTGCCTGACAGCAGTCTGTTGTTTCCTCCATGCCTGGGCTCCAGAATAGCAGTTCAGCTCTATTTAGGTGTATTTACATAGCAGATAGACATCAAGTTGGACTTGCCCACCACCTGAAAGTGGACAGGTCTTTGAGACCAGACCTGGACATTAACTTTTAACCATGTGAATGAAAGATTATCAGAGCTCAAGCCTGGCAATCTAACTGGGATTCACTTAGCACTCTAGCTGGTCCTGCTAGAGCAAGCCAAGAAGCACTTCTGCAAAGCTCTTAATAGTCCATTGTAAAGCACTAAAAACTACACTTTTACTTTTTGCTGTCAGCTGTTCATACCGGTTCATACTAGCTCATCCTGAATGAAGTGCTTCACCTCAAAGCTTTGAGTTGAGAACTCTTTCCTCTCTGTTAGAGGGAAGCCTGCAAAAATGGGTTATTGCTGGTAACTAAGCCACAACAGTGTGGGGCCACAGAGCTGGTGCTGTTGAGGTTGTTCCAGAGGCTGGAGAGCTTTACTTTCGTCTTGGATGCATGGTGCTTCAAAGGGCAGCAGCTGCTTTCACCGAGTGGGCTCATGGCCCATTTAAGGCAGTAATGAGCTTTTTCCAAGATAACTGTAGTGTCTGACCTTTGCTGGTATCAGGCTGTGAATGAAGAACTGGGACTCCTTTTCTCCATGTGCATCAAGTGCTTAGGCAAACTTGCTTTAAGTTTGAGGTGTTTGGGAGCATCTAGGATGGGCTTTGCATGTAAAAAGTCTGTTTTTCAGAGCAGCATAGGAAAGGAGCCAGTCTAGAAACTGCTTTTAAACACAGTTCTGAAATTTTTCTCCCATCTGGACTAAGGAAGTAAAAAGGTATGAAATTAAATCATACTTGCCGTTGAACAAGGTTGCCAGCAAATCAATTGAACAGGGATAGTGTTCATATGCTCTCAGTAAGTGCAACATACTCCTTTATGTAGTTTTGTGCCAGGCCATTACTAAATACCACACAGGCAATAGGCTAGATCTTATGTCCCAGTACATCCTGTAGAAGAATTAGGCAGTGCTGTTTCCAGAAGGTACTTTCAGGATGTCGGTAATGCCCCATCCTTGCAAAGAATACTTGTTGCTAATAACGTAGTAGTCTAATGTGCTCTTGCACTTTGGATACAATGTCCATTCTAAAAGCATGAAAACCATTTTAACCTGGCAGCGTCTGTATACCTGGGGCCTGGGTGGGAAACAAAGGTGTCAGCATTAAGGAACTGTGTTGGACAGAGACTGAGCAAATGCAAGTTAAATTTAGGGCCTATGCTGATATGTGCTCTGGTTAAAAAAGCTAGCGCATGGCCCAACAGAGCAGGGAGGATGCATTTCTCAAGATCCCTTCTACCCCTAGAATAAGGGCTTCTCTTTGATTTTGAATCCCCCCATGTCTGCTGAATTGAGCAGTGACCATAGTAAAACCTTTAGCTGCCACTTAGCAGAACAAAGTCACTGTCGCTCATGTCTCCCTTCCTCATGACGGGTTCAGACACAAGAAGGGCTCTGCAGCCCTTCTCTAAAGACAAAGCATTTCTCATGTCTGTCAGTGCATTGAAAGCTTTTCCATTCACGTTTATGTTAACGTTCTTATCCTGGGAAGGTTAAAGTTCACCACTTTCCCAAGAAGTTCCTACACGGACTGTTTTCAGCTTAAAATTTCAGAACAATTCTTTCTTAGATGCAGCTGTTGAGCATTTGTGCCCTTGCAAAGCGGAAGGGAATGTACAAGACTCCCCCACGCGCTCCCTACATCAAGTGTGAATATTATCTATGTCTGCACCCCCCCCTCTTCCCAAGAGCCATCCAGTCCTACTGCAAAACAAGCAAGGGCACTGTGTACACAACATAATTTGTCCTTTTGTGTAAGATTTTCCATTGCAAATATTGATCTGACCATCACCTAATGCTAGCTTGTTTAGACTGAGTCTGGGATTGAATGGTCACAAAAATGCTTAGCATGCCAGAAGGATTTTTAGCAGGTGATGTCAAAGTGCTTTACAAATGCCTCATGACAGATGGCGAAACTGAGATACGATGACTTCTCCAAAATCATAGAGCAAGTCACTTTTTAATAAATGGTTTAGCCTAGAGTCTTAAAACAATCCAAGTCTAATCCCACACTCAGGAAATTTCATTCAGGTTTAGCCTAGAATTTCTTTAACTGTACCGTTTGCCCGTATCCCCTGGGGTAAGGGCTGTAGTAAATGCCAAAATGTGTCTGCTGCTGCTAAATCAAAGGAAGTTTGATTAAGCTAAAACGCTACTGGTGCAGTTACAATTCATTCAGTATTGCACAGATTAACGTGATGGTTGCTTCTCCATGTGTCTGCCTTTGGTTTGGTGGTTTAGTTGAATTATTGTGTGGGCAGCGAAGCTGGAATTGTGTGCTGTGGTATGTTTTCAAATCTGTACAGCACTGCCTTTTTCTGATCCGATAAGTAAAATTCTTTTTTATTTCAAAGAACCTCTTAGAATATCTGCTGCTTCCTTCCTCCCTGCCCCCCAAATTTCTTTGCACTCTCTTTAGCTTCAAGAGGATATGTGGAAACCCCTGGCTATAAACTGATAGTTACTTTCTAAGCCCAGTTCTATTTGCTCAAGGTTTTGGGTTTTGTTTTTTTTCCTTTCCTCTTAGAAATTTCAAACATGTTAAGGGTAGCTGGGAAGGTCTCAGCTATTGGAGTTTTATATCTGGAAGCAAGATTTAGTCTATGGTTTAGGTCAGAGTACAGTGACACAGTAAATCTGGCTTTAGGGCCCTTGTGCCAGACAGAAATGCTGCAGCTGTATGACACACAGCGGTGATAGGCTGCAAATTTGCTCTCAACTTTGCACCGAGAGGCTTTGTGCCAGATCAGGTATCATCTGCCCTTCAACAGCTGGTAGAAAGCTGGGATATGCACTGTACTGTGTGCATTAGCTAATTTGATAGAAATATGGTCATCTAGCCATTCCAGAAACAGATCAAATTTGCACTGTGCATGATCCAAGAGTGCACAAATCTGGAGCTAACTGTGGCCCTGAACTTCTTGCATCTAAGATATGAGCTACCACTGGAATTAGATAATTGTAAACAAATAGCTATAAACATGGACTAAAAGCTCTTTTCCCTCTCCGTTATTCAGCTTTTTCTCAGCGGTTGGGGCATTGGCATTTTATTAATAACCCAATCATAGACAAGACACTAATTCCTATTCCTCTGTCAATATCTAGCTACCCCACACAAGTATCCTTTCCCCTACAAAAACCAACCCATCAGCTCCCGTAGACCCCCTAGCAAGCATTTACTTTCCAGAAGCTCAGTGTAGCCTAGTATCTCTCTATTTCCTTCCTCAGAAAACACTTCCAAGTACTGTTCTGCAGGATCCTTCCTGATAGCTGAAGGGGATGGGAAGCAATATCACAGCAATTCTCTCTCTTTTAGCCTCAGCTACACTGGGCTTGGGCCATCCCACCACAGCTGCAATATAAAAACACCTATGGTGTGTAGGTGACAGCATCTGTCAGTACTGATACTAATTTAGGAGAATGGTGAATGTTGCTAATGGATGGTAGTAACTGATCCTGATGCTGTGTCTGGTTTTCTTTTGTAACAGCCAACTCTGCTTTACCTCCAAAAGGATTTGGCCGCTCAGTCCGTTAACTCCATGGTTGCAAGCAGGCATGAATCTAAGGGGCGAAGGCAAAGCTAAGGGTGCTTTCCCGTTCTCTTCGCTCGTTAGCTAGGAACATAGTTTGTGTGTCTGAGGACAGGTGAAGTGCTAGTAGCTGTGTGGCCCCTAATTGCCCTTGCTTTGATTGCCCCAGCTGTGCAAGCTGGAGAACAACAAAACTAAGGGGGAAGAAGATGGTATGGAGCTGCAGAGGCTGATTTTCAAGCCAGTCCTGACTGAAGGTTAACAGTGACCTTTCAGAGCAGCAGACTGCATTTAAATACTATTGATGAAGAGTACCCTGGGTTCTCTAAGCCTGCATAGTTAAGCCAGTCAGCACTGATGGCTAGGGCAGCACTGTTTGCACCAGTGGACAAACCATCTCTCCTGCATGGGAGGCAAAACTAATACGGTCAAGAGGTTACGTAGTACCAGAGAAACAACTGTATTGGTTACCTACCTATGCTTAGGTTGGATGTTTCTCAACCCCTACTCAAACAAGCTGCTATTAGGTGGTACCTGATGCCTGGTTTGTAATGAATCTCCCCTTGGACTCCATGTGCTTCCACTTAAACCACATTCAGTAATCAGTGAGGACTCAGCTGTGATTGGGAGTCTTCACCTGGAAAATTACCTTTGGAAAGGGAGCTCAGAGCTGGAATGCCTCTCTTGGAGAGGTACAGAAATGTAATTGTCCATCAAGACAAGCAGCAATTTAAGGTAAGTTGCTACTGTTTGTGTGTCATGTATCTCTTCTGTTAATATGGTGACTGAAGTATGCCAAGTTTGTTCCTAACACAGAGTACATGGAGTGCAGCCACCTCAAAGAGGTGATGAGCACTCCTCAACCTCAAGCAACCACTGTACTCCTGCTGTTGCTGACTGCTCAGCTGATCTACTGTAGAATGGGTTGATTTGTTCCTTTTTTAAGTGACTTGTAAAAAATGCTAGAAGTTATCCCTCTGTAACGAGGGATCCGTGAGCTTGTTTGGAGGTCCTTTCTGTGTGGTTAAGAACCGACTGCGTTGGCTGCTCTAGAGCTGTGTCTGCAGGATTCTTAGCTTTCTAGTCCAATGCTGCTTTGACCGAGTTTTATGTCTGGCTTGTGGGGTCTTAATGCTATCCACAGCAGCTGAAGTCTGTTCTGTGCAGAGATGGGCCTCACGCTGCCCTTGTAGATATTTCCTGTCTAATTACGTACCCTTGCTGTTGGTTAAATGTTATTTTTAAACAGACTTTCCTGTTTTTATTCCTAATAACATGGTAAAGGAGAACAGCGTGCGTATTTGAGTCTTGTGTAAGGGCACTACTGGGCTGGATTGCCTACTTCCAACTTCTGAATTCCTGCTCCAGTTAAAGGAATAATCAAGCAGACTACCGCTATGCTTTTTCATAGCGGTCTTGTGACAACGTTTTTCAAATCCCGAATCCCTCTAGAAGAGCAGCAGGTATGAACCTTGGTCATGAACCTTTCTATTCTGTTGGGGTCGGTGAAGGAAGTACCTCCAGTCTTTCTTGCCCATGTTTTTTAATGGATAGAAGGTTCCTGTAGTTTCTTATGGCTTTGTCAAGGTTTCTAGAATTAACAGTTACAAATCTGAAAACCTTCAGCATGAAATACTAACTGTCTGTTGTGCAAACTAAAGTCTACCCTGCAGTGCTGAGTTAAAAACAGCCCAGTAACTTTGCTGAAACTTTTCTTTAATTAATTTTTGTGTATATACATATTAGCCAAAGGCTATAAATGCGTAGTTAGGTTCCCCTCTTACAGAGCAACTGGCAAAAGCATGTTCCTCATGCTCTGGGAACAGCTTCACGTGTGTGAACCCATTCAGAGCGCTGGCAGTGTAAGTAAAGAGGTATTGTGTTTATTGCTATGTATGCTATGAACTAAGAAAATTGACAAACACACAGCTTTGTCTGCAGCTGTTGTTTTGGCCCTACGTGTTGCTTGGTACCTCCTTGCCAAAAGAATTGGGGTCAAAATGAAAATAGAGGTTTATCAGAAGTATTTGTCAAAAAATTTCAACCAAAAATGTTGGAGTCTGGTTTAAGAATAACTTCCACTGGAAAAGGTCTGTTTCAGTTTTCCACGTTACCTGAAAATTAAATGATTTCTTGAATGCGTCAATCTTGTTGTCTGAGGTTCTCTCCAGCTGGGTAACATTTTGGTAATGATTGACATTTGACCTTCCTGCTTTTCCTACTGCCTGAGTGGATGACACCTAAAGTGTGGGTGCACTCAGAGAGTGTGGGTATCTCTTGATATCTCTGTTCTTGCCACGCTGATAGGGCAAACTGCATAGATATGGTTTGGTAACTACCTATCAGCCAAACTCTTCAATGTAAAGCAGGGGAATTTAATCATGAGAAAACACTGCTGCTGCTTTTTCATTTCCTGAGCATGTTAGCATGTGGGACTCAATTGCTATTAACAGTGTATCTATAGTCTCTTCCGGTTAAAACAGTATGTACTTGACAGAAGAAAAGATATGTAGGAAAGAAAGCAGTTTCCTGAGTTTTAACAACAAAAATATGAAATGCTTTGATGGGGTAGAAACAGCAGTTACCATTCCAGTTGTTGTCTGTCAACTAATACAGACCTTATGGTACGTGTAGGCAAAGACAGTTTGTTAACCGGGTCGCAGGGTAACCAGGACCAGGTCCTGCAGTGGCTGGTGTGAGGCTTCATGGCCCTCGGAGAAGTGAGAGTCTTAGCAGAATCCCTGTGTCATAGTTAAAGGAGATGCGTCTCAGGAGTATATTATGTTCCCTTTAATCAAAATTGTCTGCAAAATATTTACCTCTACACATGTATTTGTTGGTTTATTACAATTCTGTTTGTGAAAGGCTTGCTATTAAAGAAGCAAATATATTAAATCTCTCATACTTTAGGTTTTCTCTCATGCTGTACATGATGAGCTAGCCATGTTGCAGTGTCTCTGACAACGGCCATTTACAGTGCAGCGGCCTAACTGAAGGCTGTTGTGGACCATGTTTCTGTCGCTGTGAAATTTAGACCTGGCCACAGAAACCTGTCATTGGCATCCTCAACCTGCATGAACACTACTGTTAATGTAACATAGTGCCTTAAATGCCATTCAGGTTTCTGCAGGTCCTCAGACCCTTTACTAATGGGAGGTACAAAGAGTGCTTTGGCACTGCCGCAGATGTGCTGTGTAGTAGCATGGGGAAGTGTGGGAAGAGCGAGTGTGCCTGTGCAAAGGACTGCAGGAAAATCAAGGGAAAGGACCTACAGCAACTTTTATTCCGCTCTTGAAGCAGGGAGTTAGAATAAGATACTGCAAGCATCTCTGACCCTCGCTCTAGCTCATTTAAGGAACAGTCCCATTGACCACTATGGCTTTGACCTCTCTCTAGATTTCTCTTTGGCTTTCTCACTGTGACTGACCTAACAGTTCCTCTATGTCTGGGCCTTTGGGGTAACAATTTTCACTCATTTTCTTTGACTTCATTCAGTTTTAAAATCCAAAACTTTGGCAAACAAGGTCATTCTGTCCCCAGAAATAGATCTCTTCACCTCACTGATTTTTTTAACCACCTCTAAATACTGAAAGCAGAGGAGTGGCTGAAAGCGTCTAACGGTCCATTGGTAAGTACAGTGGCAGTTGGAAACATTCCTAAATACTAAACTAGAAAAACTAATAGAGCTGAAAGGCTGTGAAGTGCAGAGAAGCTGCCCTGTGCAGGTTCGCTGAAGAGTTTGTTGAAGAGCAAGCACAGAACGAGTAACTGGAAAGAAGCGAGGACAATCCTACGCCAGCAGTCTCAAAGATGCAGAGGCAGTAGATAGCATTTAAAGAGCCAGGAAAGCCTGTGGGAAGAAGAGGAAAAGGAAATGATCAGTCAGGTGGACAAGTGAGTTGGAAGAAGATTGAACTGATGACATTTGTATGCGAATTGCCTGAGAAGGTAATTGGCAGTCCTCTCATGCTCAGAGGAGAGTGATGAGGGCAGCGCAACGCTGCTAGAAGGCTTTGCTTAGCTCCTTTTGTTTAAATATGAAAAATGCCAGTGAGGTGTCTGGCAAGCCATCCAGCTAGCAAAAGCCAGCCTTGGGCTCATCATCTGTCCTTATTTTCCTGCCCTAGAACCCAGTGCAAAGCAGAGCCATAGAAGACATGGGTTTCATTGTACTAGCAGATTGCTGTGGTGGGCATGGCTGTAGGTTTTCTTCCTGCCAGTGTGTGCCTCTGATCTGCAGGTGCTTCCATCTAGCTGCATTCATTGTTTTTCATATTACATCACTGACTGATTAAAGAAGAGTGGAGGATTCCCCACCTTTCTCCCTGGATACCCATGTGTTGTAGAGGGGAAATTAAAAGAGCTTCTGCCTTGCTTTGTACAGCTAAGACCCTCAACCATCAAAGGTATCTGCCTATGGAGTATGTGTGCCCTCTGCATTCCACCCCCTGTCAGAGATACTTGCATGGCCTATGCAGTTAGAGGAGGGGATCCGTAACAGAGAACGTGGCTGCTGGGACCATGAGTGGGTCGCAGGCTGGCTGGAGCTGGTCCCCCATTCTGGAGAAACATCTAGCTCTTTGTTTCGTTCAGTGCAGTAAAGTTCTGGACAGGATTGTTCTCCTGGATTTGTCAAACTTTGAGACATTGTTGGCCCTGCAGTGTGCTGAGAGTGGGGAGGAACTTGATAAGAAACACAAGTTCTAGCCTCTTTGAGGTGAAGCAAGTTTTCTCAGGCAATGTAGGCCAAAAGGTGGGGGTGGGGAGAGGAGGAAAGAGGAAAAGCATGGTCAGTTGGTTGTTTCCTGACTAATAATTGTAGAGGACAATATTATGGATTGCCCTTGGTCAACTGCAGCAGACCTTGTGTGCTCTTTTTTTCGGTATAGAACATTTTTAAAGTTTGAGAACTGCAACTACTTGTCATCAGAGCTTTTTAAGATAGGACCCTGGCACGTAGCCTCGCTGCCCATTCCTTTCTGCTGTCCACCAGCCATCCTCTCTTTCTTCAATGACAACTACAATGTCTCCTTCACTGATGTCCAGTTCATCCATGTTCTGAAAGGAGAGAAGGAACAGAAATCTGGTTAGCTTGAGAGCACAGGAGGGCCTGAGCACGTATCGGGTGTTTTACCCTGCTTTTCATCGGCAGTCTCCCAATGTTCTTCTGGTTGACAATGAAGCTCATTGTAACATCAGGCAGTCAGGGATTATGCACGTATTCAGCTGGCTGTTTCCTTAAAACATTCAGAAATTTCCCCTGCCTCCATGTGCCCTAGACTTGACTTATGTATTATAAGGGATGGCCAGAAAGGGTTAAATATGACTTTCTTAAACCAGCCAACCATGACCTTTCCTTAGCCTGCGGGTGTTGCTAACTAAAATAGTACAAGGCTTAATTCCCACGGGAGATAAAAAACAGTGCTTCCGCTAATCCAGGCCTTAAATAGATCTCTCGGGTCTCTTAATACAGAACAGCGGTGACCCATGGAGATACAGCAACTACTCCTGAAATGGTTAACTTTTATCCCTAAACCAAAAGGAGTAGTTGCAAGCAGTTCTGGCTATCTGTCCATTCAGTGGGGCTTTCCTATTTTTCATTAGGAAACCATTTTGCTACCCACGTTGTAATAAAATAGAAAACAGGATAACATAGGCTTCCAAAAACAGGCTTGATGTATTAAATTTAGATTTAGCTGATGTAGCTGAGTGGGTAAGAATGGACTCAAAAAGAGAGAAGCCTCAATATATTTAGGGACTAAAAGTAGTAACAGGCTTCTTTCTCAGCAGGGAAAAGTCTTAAGCGTGTCATATTTGAAAGTCATCTCCTGAACTAGGGATCTGCTTCCTTGACAAAGGGATCCAGCGTTCCCCTTAAGAAAACGACCACAAACACTGAGGTACCTTCAGCTGTGCTTGAATGGACTTTCAAGCAAATAATTATTAAAGAGGGTTTAAAACAAAGCAAAAGAAAGTACACTTAAGTTCAGCAGTGCTCTGACACCTTTTAAGAGAATGTTCTCCTTTCAGCACGCATTCTGCGTTCATAATTTATCTGGCTACCTGATTTTGTCACGCACCAGCATTTTATCAGTATTGACCCTTTATGGCTAGTCCATGGAGGAAGTCAAATTCGTCATGGCCTAGTCAGTGAGCCTTTTCCCAGGACTGGCCCTCACAGGGAGCAATTGGCAGGGCACTGGGTATTTCCATGTGGAGAATGCAATTTGTACAGTTTGACTACCCTTTTGACTATCTGAAATAACTGAAGATCTAGACCTGGTACTCTGAAAGTAACAGAATTTCTCTCTCTCTCTCTCTCTCTCTCATTATTTCCTCCCCCCTTACATATCTGTTAAACAGAGGTAAAAGTAATATGAGCTCAAGGTGTATCCATCACACAGGAGCTGGAGTAGCATCAGAATGCCAGACTTCATGTTGTTTCAGGCTCATTTAAAAAAAAAAAAAAAAGTTAAGGTTTCAGGAGGTCGTTTAGGTGAAAAATATTTATGCTACCAGTGCTAGGACATGCACAAACTGTGACTCAGCTGAGGCTAAGGCTGTGATTCTGCAACTTGCAACAGCCAAGTGCAGGGAAACATAATGATTTATGTAGAGAGTCATCTATGGGGATTCAGTCCACTCCAGCCTGGAGGAGACCTCAGTTAAAGCCAGGGTGTTAATCTGGGAGAGGATATTCCCACATGATAAGTGAGATCAAATGGAGAAGTGTTCTTAGATAGGCATCTGTCGCATGTTCTTACTTCTGCTCTAAAGCTGCAGTAGATCTTATATGAAGGATCTGTAGCCGCTTTCCCTATGAGAACATTTCACAAAAAATATAAGGTCAGAATATGCTTAGAGGGAAAGCTGGAAGGCACAGGAATAGATGCTGCCATGCTCTTCATGCTGCTGTTTAGTTCTTCCATGACAGCGTCTGAAAGTGCTGTCCTTCAGAGGAGTGGTGAGACCAGATCTTGACCGATCTATTAGCAAAGATCTTGTGCTCGTTTTTAGCACAACTAGTCTCGCTGTCTCATTGAGTTTCCAGCAAACTCCTACGATTTCACCTGACTGCGGTGCTCTTCGTTGCTTGTTCTCTTAAAGTACTAGTGAAACATTTTCACCCTAATCCTACATCCATTATATTCTGTGTGGATATGTTGTCACTGGTATGTCTCTTCAGGGTATGGGGCTTGCATAAGCATATACTAGCACAGGAGCAGGATCTTAAGGTAACTTACGTAATAGTTTCAGTGGGACATTCCATACACTTGTGCCTGTAAAACTGCATAGTTAGCTATCCTCACCTAATAAATAAAGTTTTCCATGTGTTTGAGAAACGTCCCCACCATGTCTCTAGAAGGAGCTTGCAACAGCCCATCACTGATTTAGGCAAGGGTGTATGATGCTAATGTGTAATTGCTTGCAAAAAATGTTATTGTTTCATCCTGAGGCAGCATGGTCTAGTGATTTGTGCCAAGAACTTACAGTTGGGATTCCTGGCTTCCGCATATGACCTTGGCCAATAATTCTCTAAGTATCCCTGTCTGTAAAGTAAGGATAACACCTCCTTCGCAGAATTACCACTTTTAAGATGTTTAAATTGACATAATCTATTTTAAACTTGGCACTGTATGAAATATTCATTTTTAAGCCTTTGGTTACCTGGGCTGTGTAGTCATAAAGTACTCTGTAGTCCTGTGATGATGTGATTCCTGCTTGTTCATTTACAAAAATGGATGCATAGACCCCATCTGTTTTATCTGCTGAGAGGGGGGAAAAAAAGGAGAAACGAAGAGTTCACTTGCTTATCAATGCATGGAATCGTATGCAAGAGTTCACAAACACAAGGGTCTCTGTGTGCAGAGATGAACATGTCTAGAAAAGCTGCTGTGAACCGTAGGTAAAGTTTTTGCACAAAAACTGTGTCCTGTTGATTAGATGGTAATACTCCCATTGAACTTTGTGGGAGGCCAGAAACTAGTCTTATCCAGGTTGGGGAAAACATCTACCCAGATAAAACACAATCCCAATGGACTGAAAAAGGAAATACAATGATTAAACTAGTTTAAAATGTTTGCTACTGCAGATGCAAAGTTCTAGTAGTACATTGACTCACACGGGCCTCTCTTTTTCCCTTGAGAATGATAGAAAACATGGTGTTCAATGGGTCATCAGACTTTTTTCACTAGCTTATATAGTTCCTGGATAGCCATTTGTCACTACCATGACCTTTTTGGAATATGTTGATTCAATCCGCCTTGTCATAATTAGGGAAACTTTCTCTTGATGTTATTCAAGAAAAGATAGAGCTGGCCCTATTGAAAACCAGCACTTGGGTCTCTTCTGTTATTTGAGCGCTTGTAACGTAACCATAGCAGTAAAACGAGCAAGCAAAACCTTGCTAGTGTGGATGCTGTTATGTTGACACAACAGTCCACACAGGGCTGCTCTGGTATACTCTATATTCTGTTGGCATCAGAGTGCAGCTCTAAGTGTAGTTCTGGCTGAAGGATTATTCTGAAAATGGCTTTGGGAGTGCAGGACCAAGCCCATGAGAGTTGTGTCAACAGGTGAAAAGCCCTGGTCAAAGCACTGTGCACAGTATGGAGCAGGAGGGAGAGCAGGAGGACTTTCAGAGGGACTTACTGTTTGCTTAACTTCTTAAAGAGTCCTTGAAGCTATGGCTCTGATTAAAAGCAACATCCCAATAAATATAGTCAAAACAGAGTGTTTTTACCCGAGGTAAATATCATGATGCTTCTGCATGCTATAGCCTTACAGTTTGCGTGTAGTCAGAATCAAAGAATGCTGACTTGGGCCTGGGAAGCAGAAAGAACCATTTCCTTTCCATCCCTCTGCCTGGGAGCTTTCTCCTGTCATTGAGGCATGCAGGCGTTTCCCCTGTGTATGACGACTCTGTGTCAGTGAGATGGTAGCGCTCTGACAGAGCATGGAGTGGCTGGGATCCCTGAAAACTTTGCCACAGTAAATCCTTGGTTTAGTTATCCTGCTCTAAAGAACACTGCCAGTTCTTTGACTTTTGAGACGCTGAAAGATCAGCGTGGCAGGAGGCAAAAAAGCTGAACAAAGATGGTATTTGCCGTTCCTGAGGGCCTTGTCCAAGGAACGCTTTGCCCTCCTGTCCCCAGCCTAAGGAAGTTCAGATAGTCTTCGAGTAGTTACTCCATGTTACCTCTGCCTTCTTCGCTTCTGCACCGCTCTAAATGCGTCTGGGACCCTGTTTCTCCATGCTGGGATTCTTTCTCCATCAGTTGTGTAAAAACATGCCTCTGCTTTGGGAAAGGTTATGGGAAGGCAGAGGAGGACAGTTAGGGACTGAGCAACTTTAACCAGCATGGCTCAGCTAAAGATGAAGGGGAAGGTGGCCTCTAATTACATACTGATAACCTGGTAGATCAGCCCAGGTTAAAAATGCTGTTTGATCGAAGTCAAGGATTTTCCGGAATGTAAAGACAAGGGTGTGTTAACTGCGCAATGAGGTATACCCAGGCTCCAGGTAATGTCCTAAGGAGAGGAGAGGCAGCCTGTAGGGCTTTTTTGCAGTTACAGGGAGATTATACCAGGCCTCAACATAAGGGGCCACCACGGATGTTGCCTGGTTACTTGGATAAGGACTAGAGCTACTGTTAAATCCAAATTCAACGTGGCAATGCTGGCTGTTTCTTAATATGCTATTACAGAGGCAGTTGTGATACAACTCTGTGAGGGACCGAATGCCTTCAGGTTGTATTTGCATGGACACTACTGACTACCCTGGAAGTGGAAGGTGGCTGGTGGCTGGCAGGTCCAGCTGGTGTTTGATAGCTTTGGAGAGTCCCCCCTGGCTGGGCGCCGAAAGTAACAAATAAGATAGCCTGTGCTTCATTTCTGGATGTCCAAGCAGACAGGCAGGCCTGACAGAGGAAATTGATTTGGGTATGTTTTAAGCTGTATTAAACAGCTTTTTTTTTTTTTCCAGCAGAAATCAGTTAAAATTTCTTTGTTTCAAATCAGGCCAATAAAAATGTCATAAACTGTTAATTTTCTGTATAGTCAGAACACTACTTTTTAACTGTCCTCTGATAAATGCCGGGCTGCAAGGGTTGTGATAAGACAGTGTAACTGTGAAACAGCATGGATATTTGCATTCACAGGACAGGAAGCTGATCTGTTTAAAAACTTAAGGGATTCCCTTGTGCTTTTTAGAGGTAGCATATCCTACTTTAGAAGAAAACTATTATCTAAGCCAGGCAGTGTCAGTCAGAATTTACAGTTCTCCTTTGCCCAGGGAGAGTTTTGAAAAATTATATGACCCAAAGATTATACGGCTTATTTGGCGCTTTAAACTGGGGAAGTTGCTTAATACACATCTGCTCTAAATTAGTTTACAGGTTGCTCTTCTTGACTGCCAATATGTGAATGCCCGCTGCACCATTTCTGCTCCACGTCAAAGCTTCGTTTAGCAATGTGATCTTAAACAAACACATTGGGTAATTTTACTTCCTGGAGAGGCATACCAAGAGGAGGGGCAGAAGGAATGACGCTTTCACCATTGTTTTTGCTGTTTCCGTGTAGTAGTCCAGAGAACCTGCAGAACCAAGAAAAGCCAATGACAAAATGAGTGAACAGGATTGGGTATGTGCGTTCTTTAATCTCTGCAAGTCTCGGCTGTCTGACTCAGCTTTCCCTCCATCTGCTGCAGCACTGGGTAGATGTCGCCTCTTCCTGTGGCCATGTATTGTCATTTATGCTGTAGATATATTTTTAATCTGAAGATAAATATACTTAAAGGAAACACAGCAAAATACTGAACTGGTTGAACTTTCACCCATCGTTAGACTATGCACAAAATATATCACGTAATATGTTTTTGTTGATCTAAAGGCTTATGATGCACAACTTGATTATGTCATTATTCAATTTATATATCAAGTATTAAATTTATTATCAGTTGATTATCAACTATTTGTATGATTCCCATCCCTTTGTCTTTAAGAAAAACTGCTACAATTTAAAACACAAAAGGTATAACACACCTTTCTAAAAATTGTTAGTCTTAAGTGGTTTTAAATCTGTCCCTGGATGTTTTCCACATCACAGCTTGATACTGGAGACCAAGCAGAGAGAGAATTTGGGTCAGGATTCTCAAGCACAGGTAGCAATAGCATTGCCTGCTTAAGACATTTTTAAAGGGTTGGATTTTTCAGTTAGTGAAGACTCAGCGTTTCTACAAACTGGATATCCAAGCTCAGCAGTTTCTGAAAACTCAGAATGAGTCTCTCTAGGCTGTTTGCCCTTGCAGAGCATGGTTGTATTCTGAATTGCAGTGCAGTTTTCTTCTGCAATTGTACAGCATGCAGCAGAGGAACTCATTATTACAGAAAATCTAGTTTCTGAATGAAAAACAAAATATTATATATAAAACTTATCAGCTCACTAACAAGCCTGGACCGCATATGTTTTAAATGGGAGACCACAACCCTTCTTGTCTTTGCCATCTAATGAGGCTTGTCAAAACATAAAGATCTTCTGCTTTAAAAAGCCATTGTAAATTAGCCATTTTAATATAAAATATCTAAACCATGCGACCATGCTCTTCTGCTGATAAAACTATATCCATGTTACAAAGCCTAAACAGATTAGAAAAATTGGCTCCTTAATCATCACAGCTATTCCACTAAGTTCCCCCCCCCCGCCTTTGGTCTAGATACAGAGAGCAGCTCTTTGTTCTGCTCAGCTGGGTGGTGCAGTGTAGTCAGCCAGGACATATTACTGAAAAAGACAGCTATCTCCAGCCTTCACTCCCAGCAAGAATCACCTTTGGCCTCTTTTGCACAAAGCGTTTTTGTTGCAATGTGCCATGACTCACTGGAAAAAGAGGAAATAAGTGAATGCTCTCTGTTGTTGGCCACTTAATTGTTTTCTGAACTTGTTCCCTGCCTCTCTTCCCACTAGGCCATGGCAAAATTACTCTGACTGCAGTTTTAATAGGTTTTGCTACAATAAGGAAGCAGATCCTGTTTCCTGTTGTCACACATGGAGAAAAATCTGTTCTGGGAGCCAAGGTTTGCCACTCACCTTTTCATCATCCCACAAGACTGGGTCGGGCTACGGTGAGTTCTGTTTGGTTCTCTGTCGTAGTAGTTCTCATATCCTATTGCACCTGCAATAGGGCAATAAAAATGAGAGGTTTTGCCTGTCTGAACATATCTCTCTCGACCAGTATGCAGCTGATAGCGTGGCCGTTCAGGGGCTGGTGAAGCAAACTGCAATGCAGCACCCATCTGCACTCGCTTTTAACGTACTGGAGCAGCCCAGGGGACCTTGGGGACTTGACAAAAGCCATTCAAGTGATTGCATGCAGATGTGTGCTTGGTGGAAAGGTATCCTTGAGCTGACACAAGCAGAGTCAAGGTCCAGGAAAACTATTCCAATTGCCTTCTGGATTAGGGTTTAGCCACAGCTGTCTTCCCCATGACTCATTTCTCTGTTGCCTTTTCTATCCCCTTCAGCTTTAAGGAGCAGAGCATGGTCACTGTGAGCATGGGACAACGTCCTTAACTCAATTGGCTGCAGTGGTTTGGGAGTGTTTTGTGTTTTGTTTTAGTGGGATTTTTTGGTTTGTGGGTTTTTTTATTTTTTGATTTATTGAATCAGGAATTTTTGTCAGAGCTAGGGAAACTTCTGAGCTTGCTGCCTGCAGGAATAATGAGCAATTTCCTGGTCTGTGCTTGTGCATTAAGTGTCTTCCTACCTTTCTTACCTTTCCCCCTCCATCCCTTGAGAGCTGACTTGCTGTTTACCCACAGATATTTGGATTTTGTTTTCTCAAACACAGTTATGTTACAGCACCTTCCCTCTCCCCTATGGTGGTGTTAAGGGCAAAATTGAGACCATTTCAAAGTCAAGCTTTACAGAAGAAACAGTTTCAGGTGGATTTATTTATTTTTCTGCTCACAGCTCCCAGTGAAGTTGCTTAGAGCAGGTGGCCACACATCCTTTCTGCCTTCTCTGTGTTAAAGCAAAGCAAAGGCAAGCAAAGTCTGATTCAGGAGCCGTGAGACCATATTAGCTCAGTTCTGATACATTCTCACCGAGAAATGGGAACCTGGGTTAAGGGTGGTGCTAGCATTCTCACATTGGGCCAGCCAACTTCATAAGCAGAGCATGCCTGTACAACTGTGTGTGTGGAGGAGTATGGAGTGATCACTACAAATAACTCACAGTGATTAGAGAGTTTTCTGACCAATTCAAGGGTGTCCTTTTATTATCCTTCTAGACTGTCATGTGGTAGGATTTCTAGTCTGTAATTCATGTTAAGATTAGGTAGAAGAGAAGAGAGAGCCAACAGCTCTACTTGAAACCAAAAGCTTTTGTCGATACGAGGGTTCCTGTTACACAATGCAAAACCATATACGGGTTTTCCTCTGCATTTTGCAAATAATAAAATGGACAGACAACCCCTTATTGTATGCTGTTCTGCAAAATCATTAGCCAGAGCTGTGGAGATACTATGATGTTACTTCTAAAACATGTCACCTTCTAGTAGGTGGCAAAAAGAAAAAAGCAAGAGTCAGGTATTCCTTCACTTTTTACAAAGCTCTCGAGGGTTTTTTCCCCCGCTATTTTTTTATTAGAAAGGAGTCTTGACATAGCCAAGAACTGTTCACAGAAAATTGCCTAGGCAACTGGAGAATGAGGAATCTCACACAGAAAAACCTAGCTGAGAATCGGAGCTTTCTTGTATACAGAAGTTGTTTCACACTGTTGCAAGGTACAGTTCTCCCTTCTGCCAGTGAAAATGTAGTTCTACCTCATTAATGCTGCTATACCAGTCAAGCTTAAATGCCCTATTGGAAGAAGAATAAATTATTATCAGCAAAATGGCATCCAATGTACCAGTATCAATGTATTAGTGGTTTTCTTCTTTTTTTCTTTTCTTCTTTTTATTTTTAATCCAGAAAACCCTATTCTTAATTGTCATAGTTGTAATAGTGGAAAGCCTGAGTGAAGACCAGGCGTTAGGTAGCTCTCAGTGCTGGGGCTACTGACAGCGTTCAGCTCTGCTGAAGGAGGGAGTTCCTACAGTGCGATTGCTGCCAGCTCTGAGCGCTGCAATGAAAGCAAAGGGCTGCAAGCTGCTCTTGTACCAGTATAACTATCCCTTGGAGGAGTAGGGGGTGTTTGTACTGTTGATGGTGGTATCAATGCAACTCCCAGTATGGAAGGCTGTATGAGTATCGAATGTCCTTATCCCAGTGTAGTCCATTGCCCATTCTGAATGGAAGTAAGCTCTACTGATACTAGTGAGCCCACGCTAAGGGGATTTTCTCTCTCTAACCTACCAATATGGTGCTACAGCAAATAGCAGAAGTGAAACAGTATCTGTGCGCAGATAAATGGAGGAGGAGGAGATCTGTTCAGAACAGGTACATACATACATTCTCAGCTAATGAAAAGATGAAATAGGGGGTTTCTCTCCTTTTGCAGAAGCTCTAAATTTTTCCACTTACTGCAGCAGCTGTGGGGAAGTGTGGTTAATACTCTGTAAATAGTTTATACTGCTCGTTGAAGTAAGAGGGTGTGGTTTCTATTTGGGGTGTGCAAAACATTAGGTGGCTTCATTTCTATGACATGTTCAGAAAACTCCCACCCCAGAGCAGCATGTTTTCATTTTATGACTGCTGTTAGCTCTTGCTGTCCCAGTCTCCGTTTTGACACAGAGGTTTGGTCACTGAAGTCAGTGAAAAGGCTCCATTGGTTTGAATGGGTGGAGATCTCTGAACCTTACATCACTTCTGCATTCTCTAGCAAAGCTAATTTCATTCAAAATTTCCCCTAACCGGAGACTTGCCCTTAATGCAAACAACTTTCTGAGAGGTCAAAAGGTGTTATTCCCCATTGGATAGGTGGAACAGAACAGAATACAAAGTCTCGTCTTCTCTGCGCTACAAGGAGGCAGCATCTCTGTCAAGGGGACACCAGGGGGCAGTTACATGATAAGTTGGCTCTGACTTGGTCACCACTGTGGGAAATTGAGGATGCAGTCTCTGCAAGGCAGTTTGCCACTTCCTTAGCTGTGCCAGATCAGCTGTACTGTGGAATGAACCTGATTTAAAAACCAAAATAAATCCTCCTTTTTTGGAGAGTTATTTTTAACTCAGATCATTCAGCAATCCCACTTACCATGCTGCATGATGCGTGATGGCAGCTCAGCGAGGAGGAAGTGAACCGTGGTGGGTGGAAATGAATAGCCAGAGCAGAGAGAAAGCAAGAACTCCTCCAGTGGGCTTCATTCCCAAAGGAAGGGTACTGCACAACTGCAGCCCAAACTTAACAGGTGACTCATCTGACAAGACCCACAGGAATAATTACCTGGAGGTTGTGTTCCTGTCATTTTGGTCTTGATGAAGTAATCTATGTCTGACTCTACAACGCACTTCTCCAAGCTTACCCGAACCTCTTCATACAGCTACAAAACAGAGACCAAGAATTTAAATTGTTCACCTCTTTTTTTTTTTTTTTTTGCATTGAATTAACAGCTAATTCTCTTCTAATATTTTTCCCCTTAAAAGACATTTTCTACTTGGCACGTGTCTGGTCTGGCTGGATCTTTAGCCTATCCCTGATACAAGCATTCTTCTTTACATGAAACACAATTGTTTACTTGTGCTCTGAACATACTTTTATGAGATGAGGAAGAAGGCAGTCCAGAGCTCTTCAGAGCAGTAAAAACATTAATAGTATGAGCCAACCACTGAAAGTTAATACTCAGACATACTCTCATTAGGAATAAGACCCACTCTCCAATGAGATTCAAAGTTTGAAACAAAAAGCAAAACACCAACATGGATTGTATTCTCTATGTCCTTATGTCCTCACATTTTGAGACCATGACTAGATGCCTTTCTGAAAGTTGAGTTTGAGCCCAAATATACTTGACTTATCCACTTGGTAGATGGAGGCATTTCCTCCAAACTGAGGAGAGGAGGCATAGTAAGTGCCACCAAATGCAACACAGACTGTCTAAATCCAGGCATATAGCTGTTTTACGTCTAGGGGAGAGGGAACAAGCTTGATTCACCAGGCTCTCCCCTCACTGAACATGCCAGAACAGTACAGAAGCTGGTTTGCTGGAGACAATCAGTACATGCAAGGAGGGACAGGCTAGTACTGTGGTGTTAAAGGACTCCTCCGCACACAAAGTCCTTAGTGGGTACCCTTTACCTCATCGTCTTTCACGCACTGCGTGGAGAGCTGGTTACAGTGAACCCACAGTGAGTTTCGGAGGATGGTGATGCGGTCGCACTCCTGGAGCTGGAAAACCTAAAGGAAGAAAAGAGATGTGAGGGGGCATCAGGGTGGTTAGTTATTTGTACTACAGGCAGCGATGGGGCTGGGACTCCTCTGTGCCAAGTTCTTCTGCAAACTGTTGTGAAGGATGCTTCATAGAGGGCATCTTTTCAGCTCCTGGGGAAACTCACTCATGCTCAGGGATGTCTTTTTAGGTCATTGTACCAAATTAAAGTTATGTTATACAGACAAAAGTAAAGCAGGGGAACATAATCAGTATCTGGCTGTGAATGCTACCTACAGCCAATGATTTCTGAGCCAGGGTCCTGTTTATCCATTGTATGGAAATCTTGATGTTGAAGAAGTCAGAAGAGTGCTGTGATGAGAGGGTTGTATTTACATTAGTGTCTTTACAATTAGTAGAGTCAAAAAGGTCCATCTCTGCCTTCTGAAATATCTTTCCAAACCTTTCTATATTGAAGCTATTTGGGGTTCTTTGGGGTTGCCTTTGTTCATTTCTGAGGTTATTTTAATGGTAAAGAAAAGGCATTTTTCTTTCTTCAGAATTCATTCTCCTCCCTCACCTACCTGAATTTATCATGTTATTATAAAGCTGACTAGGTTTGGGGGGATGAAGGGGAAAAAATATAGGAGGATTGTGAACTGAGATGGAAGAAGAGGCAGATAAACTCTTTCTTTAAAAACTTAAAAGGGGTAAAAAAACAAAAAAAAAAAACAAAAAAAAACCAACCCTGATCTCCAAGTTGTACTGTTACAAGTAGAACATCAATTTGTGGTTTTATATAAGGTGTGAAAAGCTCAGATGCTTCCAGCCATCTGTTTCCATCTCCATTTGCTAGTAATTATGTCCAAAATACCACAAAAGTATACACTATTCAACAAAACATTCAGTTGGGTGCACTGCATGCCATCTAACGTCTTACAGTCTTTTAAGAGAGAGAGAAAGAGAGTCAAGAGAGAGTCAGCTGGTGTCAGGACCAGTTTCTGAGAGAAAGAGAACCTGAAGGGAATAGAAAGAGGATTTCAACATCCATTCCAGGAAAAAAGTTTATCTAAAGCTAAGCCTTCAGTGGCTGCTGAATTAGAGCTAGAACTGGCTGGGAATTTTCCAGATAAATAGTATGCTATTGGGAAATGCAGTTCATCAAGGAGGGAAGCAAAGTGACTTAAGGCTTGTCAAACCCTTTGCAAATTAGAGGTGGGCACTGTGTTAGACACGTCCCTCCTGTCCTGGCAGCTTCGCGAACTGACTGCTTGTGAACCTAGGCTTCTAGTGCCAAGGAATACAGCACCGCCTCCATGACGAAGGTTGTCCCAGTGCTTGCACTCGCAATCCAGGATTTTCAGGCTGTGGATGTCCGGCACTTTGCTGTGGGCCTGAGACCTTCCTCAGACACAGAGATTCTCTGCTGTGCAACCAGGAGTTTGGGGGCTTAAGTTTTTCTACTAGTTACTAGTTTAAAATGTCTCAATAAATCTACCAGTTCTTCTACGTCCAAGTACTTTTAAAAGGGGGAGTTAAAAATGCCACTCTGTTACGAATGGTTGTTTGAATTAAGCAGTGGGCAGGCCACAAGGTCTGTATGGTATTTGAAGTTTAGCCATGTGGGAGAAACAGCGTTCTAGCATATGGGATATTTTACTTGTTTGTTGGCTTCTTAAGAAGGGGAAAACACGCATCTTTGTGAGAAATTCAGGCTTGGCACAATTTCCACGGAATGTTTGTGCCAGCCATGGGACTTTCCAGTGCTCCCAGGTAGGGAAGATCTAAAAGACAGTGGAGAACTGGAAAACTATGCTCCTGGCATTTCATTTTATGTGGAAATAAAACCTGAAACAAGTAAACATAGCAAAATCAGACTTTAGCAGATGCACAAATATATTAGAAGGACGAATATGACCAAATGTATGGTTGATTTGGATGTCAACCAGCTCCTGCAAATTGTTGTGCAAAATGTACTAGCCAAGTGCAAATCTCCCTGTCCATACTTACTCCATGGCAGAAGGCAAATATAAAATACTCTGCAAAATAAAGCTGTAGACCACAGAAAGCTTCTGTGTAGCTTAGATATCTTTGCTCTCAGAAAGCTGCAATACATACTTTTACAATGAATAGCTTAGCAAGAAAAAATCTATTTTTAATCTCCATTGAACTTGAGATTTAGAAAAATGAAACAAACACAAAAAATTGTCCTGCATTAGAATGAGAAGCTGCCCTGAGAAACTTTCATAAGAGGTACTCTAAAGGGGATTTTTTTTCCTTCATTTAATCAAATTCTTGTTTCAGTTTTTAAATTTATTTTTTAAACTAAAAAATGAATTTTCATTCATTTCATTCAAAAGAATATTTCTGTTCTTTTTCTGCTCAAATGACATTTTGTCACAAAGCAGTTAACTTTAGAAACAAGCTTATCTTGGCTCTTATGGAAGACTTGCTCTAAAGCTAGCATATTCAGTTATGTTGTGGGTGAAAACTGGCAACGAATGCTTGCAACTAGATTGTACCAGTTCATATATTGCTCCACTTCTCACACCTCGTGCTTAACTCCCCTCCTTTATATGTGCATACATATGCTGAACAAGCCGGGAGATTGTAAGTAAGTGAGATCTACTCTAGTTTTTGCAGTATTTGTGCAAAACACATCTACCGAGACTCCCTATAAAGCAAACAGCAGAACCCTTAGGACAATCTCAGGTCTTAGACTGGTTATATAAAAGTAGGGTGAGATAAAGAGCGCACAAATGCATTGCAGCAAAAGTAAATGTTTACCTCACAAGTTTTGATGTGTTCCTGTTCCCAGTCTGTCCTGACCTTATCCAGCTGCTCTATGTTCTGTTTGTACACCTTCTCTGTAAACACAGACACACATAATAGACACCCAGCAGTTAGGCAAAAAATGCCGCAGTCTTTCTCCTTTTCCTCCTATTAGGCATTTGTCATGGCTTTTACTCTAGCAAACCACAGACTTAAAGCATATCACAAGAATAAATGAGCTTGAAACTAGTGGACAGCAAGGTTTTTGGGGCTGGTTGGTTTGTTTGTCTGTTTGTTTGGGTTTTTTTCCTCTTTGCAGCTTTGTTAGAGTGAGGAATCTCGCTACATGGTTTGCAGATCATCTGTAAACTTTACAGTGGGGATGATGCAAGTCAGAGAGCAAGGGCCTGGGCCATGCTAAGGCACAAAACATCCTTAATGCTTTCCCTGCTGGACCAGTCCAGCAAAGCATGTGATTTAGTGTAAACTTGTCCGTGAGCTGTGAGAAACAAATCTAAGCTCATGAACAGGTTCAGGTGTTTGCTGGCTTGACTTTTTGGACGTATACTGGGTTTCTGGCTGGAGAACGTAGCTATGCTACCATGCTCTTGTGCAATGAAACTACGGACTTTGTATCTGGTTTGAGTTGACTCGGGGCAATTTGAATGTCGTTCTTTGTGCTTTCAGACTTGCTTTAAGAAGAGCTTTTCTTTCCTGAGTAAAGTCCATAACGGAAGTCTTCTATTAATTCTCTAATGAGAGCATATGACATGCCTCAAGGGAAAGTAAAGGTGGGTTACTAACAGGCTGGCCGTGTTCTTTAGAAGCTCCTTCATTAATCTTTGAACAGGTGACTTCAGGAAACCTGACCTCAAACAGGGCCAGCCTGGATGTTTTGGGTGATGCTCTATCAAAATCAATGTACTTGCAGATCTTTGTCAAGAAAAATCTTAGTTCAATTGGACATAGAGCGTCACCTGCTTCATTTGCTGCGTCTCTGCATTGCTTGGCTTTGTTCTGACTCTGAAACAAGAAAAGAGAGAAACAACCCAAATTAATTTCTGACCGTTTTTTGCCTCTGCCCCAGTCAACGACTTCTAGAGAGAAGGCTCAAGCTTGCAAGCGCTTCTTGGCTGTCTCACCTCCATGCTCTGTTCTAGCAAACATGGGTTATTGAGAAAGAGGGACCAGAATTTCACAGATGCAGCTATAGGTCCACTGACCTCAAAGGAAATCTGGCAGTTGACATCATTTTGCTGTTCTTTCTGTGTGTGCTCCTGCCATGCTGGTATCCCTCCCAGAGGAGCTCTTTCTGTTAAGTGCTACTGTGATCCAGCCTAAAGCTTGTGTCTTCTGGCTGAGTTGTTTTTTTCCTAGAGCCTTCAATGTGTATTTCTAATAGATGTTTATAAGCAGAAATAAATAGCAGTTAAAATTGTTCATCTTCTGAGCTCCTCATGTAAAACACACAGTGAGCCTTTAAAATATTTTGCAAATGCTAGAGTATTTCCCATAGCAACTCAGAAGCCTAAAAGCAAAATTCACTCTACGTAGAACACTTTTTAAAAATCTGCAGCTTTTAGCAAATGAAAAGATAGACGTTATTGACAGCTCTGGACTCCTAGGTCTTTCTGCACAGATGGTGATGACAGTACATTAGTGCACAGCTCTAGACATCAGTATAACACGTTCTTCTACTCTGCCCTTCAAGACCGTGCTCATGTAGGGGTTCTTATGACCACATTCCTCATCACAGCTGGCTGGAAAATGTGTAGTAAGTTGGGAACATAAGCTTCATTCTTATTCGCATCCTTGCCCGAACTGTTTACGAGTGCTGTGCAGAATTAAATAGCTGACATGTTTCTTGTGAGATGCCTCCGCGCGTTTCAAATGTGTTGGCATGTGTGTAAAAATAATGGCAATGAAGCACCCTGGGATCCTTCTGCATGAAAGGAGCTGGGTCAGATTTTGATGCCATTCAAGTTGTTAAGAGTCCTGGTGTAATTTCAGTGGGGTCAGAATTTCATCCCCCTCTTTGTAACTAAGGTGGGGGGTTTTGTTCATCAAGGATTTGGGGATGCTAGATATGAAGTATAAACTTCTGATGCTGTTTTTAGAGTCTCCATCCCCCCACTCCTTGAGATGATTTTTTTGATCCTTTCTGCTTACACTGCACTGATTTTATCGAGCCAAAGGGAGTTCATTTATTTTGTTTTCTCCATCTGTTCCGCTATAAAATGTTCCCATTAAAAGTTAGTGAATTGTCAGCTACAAGTATCAGACGATGCAATGAAGGACTGTAGTGCCTTAACTTCCAATGACTTATTTTTGAGTTTATAAATTTTGTTGAAATTAAACTAACCATAAGGAGAAAAATGTTGAGAAAATTTTGCTTTTTAATGTAAGATACTATGCCTACTTAATGTAAGGAACCAATGGCAAAACTAACTGAATGACATACTTCTGACTTATTTCTTTTTTATGAATAATTTTAGAGAAAAATCTCATTCAGTTTCCCTTCAGGATTCATAGAGCAATCAGATCATAGCCTTGGAAAAATTAAGTAGATAACTCAGTCCCTCCTCTGCCTTTTTAAAAAACTGTGGCCTACCACAGAACAAGATGATGATTGCCAAGACTTGTAGAGAAATATGTGAAGGAAGACCTCCTTGTGGAGGTGCTTCTTTTTAATTTGGGGTTTAAGGGGCTAATTAGAAGAGAAAGCAGCAGCCCCTGGCATACTCGAGACTGGGTTGTCCAACTGTGTTCAGTTGTACCTTGAAAAGGAAAACGGCTTTCTCCCTTTGAAGTATCACCCAAATAGCATTGTCCTCCAAGGTACCTTTTCTGTTTGCTTTTGGTTGCCAGAAGCGCTTGTCCGCTCAAAGAACTGCTCAGCCTCATCCGCCTCCTTGCACTTCTGCTCGTAGGTCTTCTTTGACTGTGGTGGAATGAAATCAAATGAGCAGGCTGGTGTCAAGGAACCAAGCTGATGTCCTAAGTGTTTTCTCTTTTACAGTTGGGGGAGCATATCAGCGCTCGAGTTTGGGGATGGTAAAGGAGACAATTTCAAATGACACCACAAGGAGAGACTTCTTAAAAATAGAACTGAAAAGCTGAGGGAGGCTGACAGCGAAAATGGTAGCTTGTCTGGGACCCCGTTTCAGCTCCTCTTCTTGCAGCCCTGCAATTGCACCTCTCAGCAGAGATTGCCACCTGCCCGGGGTGCTCTCTGCAGATACCTAGGGAGCATTAGCACCATCGATACTTGAGGCATTTACCCAAGATACCGTACGGAGAGACAAAGTTAGGAGCCTACATTGCTCGAGGTGCCAGTGGATACTGTCATTTCCCTAGCGTGACTTGGAGCATCAGGTAGCTGAAGTCAGTGTGTTGACTTGCTTACCCCTGCAAGCCGTGAGACACACCCAGCCCCACATAGGTAGCAGTCTCAGTGTTTGAGCTGGTCTGGAACTGAATTTTCAATTTCACAGCTTAAAAAATAAATGAAATGTCACCCATTCCCCTTCACTTTGAACCATCCCATCACCATTTCCTGTCAATTTGATTCTCCTTCACCTGCCCCTCTCCTCTCAATTTAGAAGTGTACCAAACTCTTTTATTTCACTAGAAATGAAATGTTTCATTCTAATTTTGAAGTTTAACTAAAATATTCAAGATGTTCCATTCTGACAGTATGGAAATGGAGTTATCTGTTCTTCCTTAAAGTTTCTGTTGTGCTTTAGCTTGGGGGTTTGTTTAGGTTTTCATCTCAGAAGTCCCTAGGATGAATAAAAAGTGGGAAGTCCCATAATGTCACCTCGTTGTCAGTTTTTAAAGCAAGCTCATACTTTAAATAAAATTGAAGTTTATTTACCTTTGTCCTGCAACTGTCTTTCATAACCGTCGTCTCCTCCTAGACCTGTTGAAGCCATGCTGACCAACATCAGATTTTTTTCTAATCTGGCCCAATTCTCATGTCCCTTTTAGCTCCCTTAACTCCCTGCGAAACCTTGCTCTGCATCTGTGCTGCTCCTGTTCCAAACTAAGCTGTGGCTTTGTTCATGCAAACCTTGAGCTTATGCTGCATCGCTTTGCTTTGGTTTGCCCCCCCCATTATGGCCGTAGTTACAATGAAGCCCCACATAAAGAATGATGTTCCAGCTCTGATGGCTATTGGAGGTAGGATGCGATTGCTCTGGCATGTGGTTAGACACAGTTTTAGTCTTGTTTATGTAGACAGGATTAATACTATGTAACATTGAAGCTGTAACTGTGTTCAAGGGATGGACTCAAACCCAGGGTGGGAAGTCTTGTTTCAGTCAAATGGTTCTCAGAAGCATAGGAAATCCTTATCTACGCCAAAAGAACTGCCTGTCTTAGAAGCTCTGTAAGCAACAACCATATTTAAATAAAAATTGTTAGTACAGTTCCAGCTGAAGCACTGACAGATCTGCAACTACTTCTCTTTAGAGGCAACCGCTGGCTGGAAACCAACACCAGCTGCCTGCAGTTCCCGTACCTGTAAGTTCCCCAGTCGGAGAGGGCTCCCTCTGTTTACCAGATTCCCTCACTGCTTTTGAAACCCTGTTTACACAAGCTGAAAAATTAAATTTGCTCCTTTAAGTATCCTTGCTTAGAAAGAATCAAATCCTATTTGAACAGGTGCCTTTTTCACTCCATGTAAACCTTGTGGGTATTTGTTTCCAGAGACTGCTCAGTGGTGTGGCAGGGCAAATGAGCTCCCTCCTCATAGCAGGAACCGCATCATCTCTTTTTCTCTCTGTCACACATTCGCTTTCTTACACGGTCACACATACCCGTTCTTGATCTTTCTTTAAATATAGCTATATGGTGATGCAGATTTCATCCTGTCTCAAACTGGAACCAGTTTACATCTGAGAAACCTACACTAACCCTCTTTGCTTACCTCCATTGTTTTCTTATAATGCAACAACTTGGTCTTTTGCATGCGCTCCATTGCAGACTCATACTGTAAGAAATGTAGAAGTAAGCATTTCTGGCTTTGGATAGATATATTTTTTTTTTCTCCTCCCCCCCCCTCAACCTTCCCCCTTCTCCTTAGTGGCAGGCTTGGGAAAGCTGTTGTCAGAGCCTTTCTAAGAACCACATGCCTGTGGGGTACTCTGCTTTTATAACTGGAAGGCTTCTAAGTGGCACAGAGAGCATTAATGTGCCAGGTAGAAATAATCCCAGGTAATTCCGCTTCAGTGGTTTCCATTAATAGCAGAGAGGATGTTGATCTTCATTATCTTCCTCCTTTTTTTTTTTCCCTCTCTCTCTCTCTCTTAAGGAGGCTAAATAGCATGACACCCAGTCACACTGCACATCAGCTCTGCTAGCAGAGTTCCTCTGCTGGTTCAAGAGCTTGATCTCACATCTTTGCGGAGCAAACCAATGCATCACCATGTGAATTTGTCCATTCTGAATACAAGCAATTCCTGCATAATTAATTTTCCATTGCTTTACTTCTGGCAAATTTATGTTCTATGTGATTTAATTTCCACAGTGTCATCTGGTCAGCACTGGAAGGACAGTGTTGAATTCTCTTTTACAGCTTTAGTTGTGATATGCCCAGCCTTATGTGACATTGAGATCCATTGACATTTGGTAGGTTCTTCAGTGCAACTTTTGGTCCTTTAATCTTTATATTCTGCTCAAGCAAAACCCTCTCTGGGGCTGCCTGGAGGATTGCTTGGCGTAAGGCTAAGTAGCGCAATCTTGAGAGCTACGGCAGAGCCAGCACAAACACATATTGCAGTGTTTTGGAAGGTCCCCAAAAATGCTGACACCTTCTAGCATTTCTCAGACGCCCTCACAGCCACATTTATGACAGAGAGAAAAGCTTGCAATGTGTCCTGTGACTCAGTGGAGTTTTTACCTTTCTTCCAGACCCCACTAACTGCTTCTATTTGAGTTACAGGCTTACTGTTTTCAGCAGCAGAGAGATCTCCTCTCTCTCTTAGCAGATTTCTTAGTGACAAGTTGGGGTGGGAGAGATAAATGCTGATGAGTAGCATTTCTGGTGCTGATGTATAACTATCCTCATATGCCTTATTGCTTCATGGGACAGCTGTGGACCTCAGATCTCAGCAGCTGCCTTGTCAGAATCAGAACTGTTTTTACCCACTCTCATTTTCAGCGTTGTCTGCTGTTCCAAGTTCCTGCATGTCAGGGCTGTAGACATGAGATGTTTGCTGCATTGGACACTGCTCATATGTTTTCTCATTTCTTTGAAGTTAGCTGAAAATTTGATTTAACTGCCCATCAGTCATTCCTTTTAATGTTAAGTGGCTGTCCTGTCTTTGCTTCACCCCCATGGAACCAGAGAAGGTGTAAAAGGTAACCGTTGTTGTCTCTGTTAAGAGCTAGTTTTTCAAAGGACTTAGAGCTCAGTAGGATCAAAGGGGATGAAGCAGCCCAGTCCTAAATATACTAAAATCTTTATTATGCAACACTAACTAGACGCATGCTACTCATTCCAAGTATTTTTAAGGTGTTGAGCATATACAGGTGCTGCATTCAGCATAATGTTCGTTGTACGTTTTCAAATGTTTGTGTTATCACATTCTTTTAGTGCATGCTAGAGATCAGGATCTTACTAAAGCAACCCAATTAGCAAGGGTATAAAAAAGAGAAAAGGAAGGATTAAGTTCTTATAGGAATAAGAATAGTGTCTGCAGTTACACCAGAGAGAGTAAAAGTGACTAAAGACTCTGTCTCCTGATTTCAGAGCCTTATGTTATTTCCAGCTGCGATCAGAAAGAGATTTTCTTCCACAGTCTAGTGTGTGGAGTGAACAGGGCACACTGGGCATGTTTTATCATCTTTTGCAGCGTTTGCAGCCTGTGGCTGGAGATGGGACATTAGAATGGACTGTCCGTTGATCCAACCTGTTTCAACGTTTCTATAGTTGCTCACCTTTTTTCTTTGCTCCTTCTGTCTTTCTCGGAACTCCTCTATTCCTTTCAGTTCATCCTTCAGCATTACTGCCAGCTGGATGTGAGAGTTTCCAACATTTTCAATTTCTAAAGCAGATCAGAATTTGTATGCAGTGAGTGGAAAGGTCTCTGTGTATAAAGTTACTTTTTCTAGCAGGTATTTCTAGGACGTGGCAGACTTGAACAAGGCCATGAACAAGGCAATCTTTTTAAAAAAAAAAAAAAAAGCCTCCCTGTGTTTCCGCACACATTGACAATGCTGAGAGGTCACGTAACCTGAATAGGGCTTATTGCAGGTCCTTTCAGTGCCTGGAAACTACATGGGGAGACCCCCTGCTGCAGAAATGGAGCACACATTCAGAGTAGCTTTGGCAAGTACAGAGCCCAGCTGCGTTTCTCCCCAGTCTCACTCACCCCTGGCACACCCCCCTTCTTCTCTGGAGCTGGAGATCAGATGTGTTGCAGGAGAGGAAGGAGCAAGGAGCCTTAATGTTCATCATCACCCCATGTGCCTGCTCTCCCTCCTGCTACGCTGCTGCATAATCATTGCTCTTGGGAGCTGCCTGCCTGTTGCCTCCAGCCTGGGCCAAATGCTACTAGAGGAGAGCGCAAGCTGAGAACTGCAAGGGTTGGCAAAGATGGATTGAATTGCAGACCATCTGGCTGAGACTGTCTGAAGGGCCTGGTAACTTCTCTGCGTTTTCTGCTTTGATGCCTCTGAAATTGAACCCTTCATTTTCCAGAAATGTTGAGCTCCCCCTACCCATGCTCTAAAAGTGTCTTAATTTACTAGCTACTTTTCAAAAGGATGTTTTTACTATCTAAACAACAGGTGCTAATACCCAGGTACACTGTCCTGTTGGATATGATGGTGCTGTATTTTCTGGCTTTGACGGGTTTTATTTAAGCCTTGAGAACGTTTAGAAAGCATACTGCTTTGGTGACAGTGTTTTGTAGCAGAGAGAGCAGAACCAATCTTTTGTGACTCGATCCGGATAAAATCTAACTTGAGAAACCAGCCCAAAAATTGCCAAAGACCCATCAGGAAATGCTGAAGATGAGAGAGCAAATCTTGTGGGGACACAGTCAAAGTGTAATTAGATTTCTGGGATGTTTACAGATACCCACTGATATCCATAATCAAGAGCATTAGGAGACATTTATGTCTCCATTTAACACCATCCTGTGGGGAACCCAGAAGTGACAAGGTTACTGATGGGTGAACAGTGGCACAGAAAGGAAGCAGCCTCATCCCAGGGACACTGCCCTGGGGAATTTGGCCATGGTCATCCAGCAAACTAGAGACACTGGCTGATGCTGCAAATACATTCTAATCAGTCAGTTATGCTTTTTTTAATTTTTTCATTAGTTTTCAGTCATGCTCAACCAATTGGCACCTGCTTTCTGGTCCTAGCACCAAAAAAGGGAACTAATTCTTCACTCAGAAGTGAGGAGAGTGTGGAGTCAGGACTCTCAGCGCAAAGATTTCTGGGACCTCAATAGGGAACTGATTTAAAGTGCTCTATTTCTTCCCTTAAGAGAAGAAGGGAGGTGGTGAGTGAGAGCAAGAGCCTGGAGGGCTCAGTTTTGGGGGAAGAGAATAGAGCAAGCACTGCTCCAGCTGAAGGGTTTCCAGGAGTGGTTTTCTTTGCCACCAGAGACCGGATTCAACGCCCAGCCTTGGAGGGGGACTCCCCAGAGAGTGTCCTTTCACTCTGTTCTCTGCAATACAGACTGGAATAGAAAAGTTGTAAATAAAGGGGGAAGAGGATGAAAACTCTCAAGGGGGACGGACATATAGTGTTTTGTTGTTGTTGTTTGTTTCGGTTTGGTTTTTTACCCAGGTTAGAAAGGAAGATATAAATACTTACGTTGCTTAAGGCTCTCAAATGCTGCCTTCAGGGTGCTGTGGGGTAAAAACCAAATGCAACTTTATTAGTATAGGCTTCTCAGAATGGGTTTTGAATCCAGAGGGAAAGCGTTCCCTCAGAACCTCAAACATCCACATAGAAATAAAATTCTTATTAGTCCTGTCATAAAAATCGACCGTGCTAACAGGCACGATAGCATCAATCTGTTAGTATTAGGAAATGCAATAAAACGCTCCGTGAAGCAAGGAATTACGCTGCTCTTTATGTGGACCTTCTTTTTTGATCCCACAGTATCTGGAGTTGTGAATGTTAACAGACATTTCTCTGTTCCTGCGCCTTGCCAATAGATACAAGTCAACTGAGTGAAGTAAAGATGATTAATGGAATTGGATTTTGGAGCACTAGTCTGAAGGGTAGAGAGGAACCAACTCCACCCTCTGTGTTGAGCGGGGCACGAGCAAATTCTTCCTCCTCAGTCACCCGTGAAGCTGCAGCAGCTGTGCTACGTAGCATCCTCTGTACAATGCTTTCATAGCACCACCATGTGGTACAGATCACTGTCCTTTGAAACACGCACAAATGGTTCAGAGAGCCTGCCTAGGTTTTGAAACCCTGATGCTCCCAGGGACTTTCAACCTTTGAGAAGCACAGCTTGCATAAACTGTGCTGCACAATTGGGCTTCAATGCTAGGCTATGAAATACAGCACGGAGATTAGCAAAAAGAGATATGCTGCTCGGTCCAGTGGACCTATGCCACTAAGAGAGAGGTCCTACCGTGGAGCATTGCAGGAGGTGATGAAAGGGTAATGATAGACCTGGTGTCTTGATTTTGTGCAAGCCTCTGTCTTTTTTAGGAATCCAGCAGAAAGATCAGCATAGAGGTGGTGAGAGAGGAAAGAGCACAGTCTGCATGAGGCATTTTCAACTTAACCTGCTCTAGCTCCCAGTGTGCAGGCTGGAAGGGCGCTTGTAGACATGCAAGCCAGGATTATGCTGTGATTTGAAGATGCTTCAGATTTAGAAGTCATCTCTTCAGGACCCAGACTGTGTTGTGCCCTGAAGAAAAACCATCTGGGGTCTCCAGAAGCCCCTACCTGGCCCTTGGCGGAGCCCAGGAGAAAAGCCTGTTAATGAAGACTCCAAATCCCCCTTGCGGAAGCTTGGCTACTAGGAGAGCCCAGAAGAGGATGCATATCACTTCCCAGCCATGTGTGACTACAGATGGGTAGGGAAATCCTGTATCTCTTGGGTCATTCTAGGGGGCTTAAGAGATACGTGAAGGACTCTAATTGCCCTGTGCTATTTTAGACTGGACATCTGTTTCCTTATCAAAGCTTGCTCTCGCAGAAGCAAGACTGCCTTACCAAGCATAGGAGAAATGCACAAGAGTTGGGAAAGACTGAGTGTGCCTTCAGTGATAACTGCCTTGCAATCCACTTCCAAATCTAACTTTGTAGCTATGTGTGCAAATACAAGGAAAAGACTTTCAGCCAGAAATGACAGGTATTGATCTTACTGTTTGACTCTTTCGGCTTCTTCTGAAGGAGATAACTATAGTAAACTAAACTTGTGCTGACTCTCCTGAGAGGAGTTAGAGAAAACATGCTAGATTGAATATTTTTCAGGTTATAGTCCTAATAATCCTTTAACATCCTGAAGGTTCATTCTGAAAGGAGGTGGGGAATGTGCTAGCAACTTCACCTCAGAAATATGTAAATACTGAAATTTAAAAGGCAGAACTCTAACACAAAAATACAGGACACTGCAAACTGCACATTGTGTTGATCTATTATTCCCAGAGATTTTTTTTTCCTTGATGCTGGTGATTCAGTTTATGCCAAGACTGGCAAAATTGCTGTATGGACACTGAAGAGTAATGCGTTCTCAGTACACGTCAAGGACAAAAGCAGCTTGCTGCTTTTTTGGTTTCCAGGCATCTGAGCTACCAGGGTATTTCATGATCAGAAGCCATACAAGAAGCTTTTTTCCTTTTTACTGGCTCTCTGTAAGGATTGGTCTGTCTTCTGGTATGTGTATCTGGCTATGAACAACTGAGAGACCCATTTGCCTCCTGCATGGTCTCTAATTGCCACTTCAGAAAGCTCTGGCCTTTCACTCTTTGTATGAAAGATTTGTCCAGTCAGTTCCCTAGCTGCTGATTAGGGCAAGGCCACAGTCCATAAGTAGATTGAAATAGACTTAAGCCATTTCCTTCCTTATTTTTATAATACTTTCCTGAAATCAGTGAATCAGATCCCTCATCCTTATGGGGCTTGAGGGAGTAGCAACTATGTCATTGTGCCAAGTTATGTGAGGGAGAGAATGAATGAATCAAATCTCGACCCACGGGTCCATCAGGTATTCCTTTATGACTTCTGGGCTGCAGGGATGTGCTGCTGCAGCAGCAGTCCTACAGATGAGCTCTTCATTGCTGCTGGATGCTCTGATCAGATCAGCGAAATACAGCATTTCAGTGCACTAGATGTAGCACTGGAGGGTTTGATGGAAGCAGCCCATGTAGCAAAGATGTACATGTGAATTTTAATTCTGTCAGTGCTCTTTGGAATATACTCGACCTATTAAAACCTCTCGTTTTAGAGTTCATCTGGGTGCATGTGACTTTCTAGTAAGGTTTGTAAGTTCTCTGTTCTGAAGCATCCAAAGTGAGGGTGGCTTGCTCTTTTGGTCACTGTAACAGAGCGCACCGTCGTCTCAGTAAGTCATACTGCTTAGCGCTGTGCTAATAATGGATTTTTTTTGTTTGTTGTGGCCAAACCAGAAAAACTGAGATTGAAAATAATTCAAGCAAAACTACATATTTGCACTTTTTTTTTTTTTTTTTTTGCTCAGTTCTAGTGTTTCCATGTCAAATCTGGAAGACTGTTAAATCACTCGAGCTAAAGACAGAGCATCAGCCTTCCCTTTGGAAAGGAAATGCAGCCACCTGCAGATGTCTTGTTGAAATAGTGTTGGACAGAAATTTACTGTGCATGTTTGTTAAAGACTCCCCCTTGGACATTTAAAGACTGGATTTGTCAAAATGCATTTCTGACAGAGAAAGGCTTGATTCTTAATCTGGAGTAATGGGGAACAGACAGAGCCTATGCAACAGCCATTCTGCAGCAACTTTTGGTGATTTTTGCCATCTAGTGGCTAAAATATCCTTACTGTTCAATGGACACTTACTGTTGCATTTCAAACTGAACTTGTCCTACCTGCTCTCTTTGTTTGCCCTCTCTCCCTTCATCTTTTGGACCTTCTTTTTTTGTGAAAGAACTGTGCTGTCACTGGAGAGCAGGATCTGCTGGGCAACCCTGTTGGACACCGGGACCTAGGAAATAGGCTGCAGATGGGGCTCTGGTACCTCTTGCTTCCCTGTCATCACAGCCTGAATTTTGCTGCATCAGAGATGTAATTAGAGCCCTGTCTGCGCCAGTGCTTACACCGCTGCTATACCCACGGTGTACACTGTTGTATCACTCCTTTTTGTAACTTTAGGCTTGATGGTTTGGGAATTTTTGTTCAGTTCTTTGACTGTTCGCTCAACTAGAGACTGATGTGACTGAGTGATTCATAGAATCCCTTTAAAACTTGTATGCAAAAAGCTAAAACATAGGCTTTTCTGATGGGACAGTACAAAACGCCCCACTGTGGAAAACCACAGCTTTTTTTTTTTTTTTCTTTTGGCCTGTGCTTGGTGAATAGGCCAACTTTCTTCTTCTCCTCTGTTGGTTTTTGTTTGAATATTATCAACATGATTTACTATGTTCTGTTCTTATTGTAATTTTTTTAAAGCATTCTTTCTGAAACTGGGAGAAGTCTCTGCCAGATGAAGTCTGCCGAACACTTTCCAGCAGTCATGTCACTCTCTGTCTCAGATAATTTAAATCCTGATAACATGGTTATGAAACCATTTTAATGGCAGTCCCCTTTAAAGCCATGGTTAACATCTTTCTTTCCTCCTGTGGTGTAGGATAGATCCAATGAAGTTTTACCAGCACGCACTTTCTGTGCAGCCCAGTGGTGGTGGCAAAGTGTGGGAAACAGGTTCAGAGCCATCTGGTCTCAATTTGCGCCTGGGACTGTGTCTACATTGCAAAAAGCAGTGGTGAGGAGGGAGGTTTAACAGGGAGGTAGCTAACTCCATACCACGTCCTAGGCCAGGCATATAGCAGAATATTTCGCGCTAGAATCGTGTCTGACGTTCCTACTGGAGATATGGTGAAAACACCAAAGAATTCATTTTGCCAGGAAGTTTTCTTGTTCTGAGAGGAGGTATAAACAGAAAGACGAAAGCATTTTGTATAACTAGAAATACGGGTGTCAGCTGTACTATAGTGTCTGAGGCACCTGGAGTGGAAAAAAGGTATGGGCAGACCCTTTCTTTGACTACTGGAGCCCAGATTTCCACCTGTCTGTAAGTTATAGCAAGGCACTAGCTAGCATGAGTAGCTGTATTGTCATTAGGGGAGTCTGTACTTTGGGATGAAAGGAGCTGGAGCTGGAGGCTGGAGCCCCTCTTTCATGAATGTAGCAAGTATAGAGGGTTCCTCTAACGCTGTGGTGTGTCTGTGTACAAGTTTTGCGTATGGTGCTTGGATTTTTTCAGATATATGTCAGAAGTGGCAGCAGCCAAGGCACACACAGATCACCCCGGACTCTGCTGGGGCAGGGGAAGGAAATAGGATGAGACATCCACATTCCCTCTCCCCCATGTAAATCTATGCCTGTAGACTATGTTTAGATGCTCTGTGACTCCAGAATCACTTACCCCATTCAAATCAAAGAATAAAACAGTCAAAACAACTTGTATACCTTTAAACATAAAACTAAATTTCCTCACTCCTCCTGGAAAGAGACAAGCACAGTACAAAAAATGCCTATCCTCATCACCTGAGAGTGTATCTAGATTGGATTTAACATGGACTGAGCAGAGGCTTAGATCTTTCAGAGTACATGTTTGGAACCATTTTCACAGGGTCCTGCAAGTTCAAAATAAAAATACCTAAACTCATTGCAGGTTCAGAACATTTG